GTATGGAGTGTACGGGAGTGATTCACGGAATGGTGCGAATAGTCACGGCCATAAAATAAAATCGAACGTTCAGAAGAACAATTGCCTCATTCTCATTAAAAAAAAATTTAAAAATTGCGATTCTGCATTTCGATGCAAAATATTTCCCAAACAATCGATATCACCAGGAAATGTCCCGAAAAATTTGCCAAAGTAATTAATTTCCCCCCGAAAACCTCCGCAAATCCAACAATTCTCCTCAACTCTTAATTTCCCCGCGCACGCGAATAAAATAATTCCGAGTGCATTGAACTCTCACGCCTTTCCCCGAAGAATCCAAACGTCTCCCACCGGATTGTGCAATCAAAAACACAGGCTTCAATCCCGCGAAAAAAAAGTGAATCCTCACGAGATACATTTAATGGAATTAAACCCAATTTCCTGATCCCGAAGCATTAAAAAATGATGAAAAAACTTACGTCGATTCATCTCAAGGTGATAGCGATCGTCTCAGCAGATTTCTTGCGTATGTACTTGAGTGTCGGAGAACCTAGCGTCCACCGAGCATATGCCAACAACTGTCAGCAGAGCTCAATCGTAAATCCATAAAATTCCGAGTTCTAGAATTAAAATAAAACGAAAAAACTTATCTTTCATTTTTAAATAACATCGTGATCACACACTTGGGGGTCCAGTCGATAATGCAGTCGGCATGCATTGAAATCACCGCGAGATGAGCTAAGAGTCATCCCACACTCCCATTATTCATCATCACGAAGTTGTGACAAGACAATTTCCCTCGTTCTTAAAATGGCTTCAGTTTTTCGCAAATATCTGGAAATTCTATCAGAAATAGCGGAATAGTCGTAATGACCTTTTTTGTGGGGAATTTTAAGGGCTACAAAAAAGGTCCAATGGACGATTTCGCTGTTTCTCTTAGATTCCGAGATATACAGCAAAAACTAAAATAACTTTTCGTGTTTTTCACTTTTTCGTTTATTTGCATTTTTTTTTAAAATATTAATTAATTGGGTGTGATTTAGTCCGGGACTTTGGTTGCGGGGTAAAACCGTTTATTCAACACTTTTATGAGTTGAGTACACAATGTCCTGGTAATTACACAGTTGATGAGACAATTTGAGGGAAATTGGAGAAAACCAGAATTTTGTTATTAAAGAGGTCTTACGTCTTGTCTTGTGTTGGAGCCGAGGGAACCACACCTTGACGAAGACTATGCGGCCTGCGGTGCTACTGTGAAACCGACAAGTTGAAAGGCCCTCGCTGCGTGCCTGCTTCGCCCGTGAGGCCATCGCAGGGGTGGAGACATCGATAATGGGACCCGGGTTGTTATTAATTTGAAAAAGCGATTCACGTGAGTCTGACGTGGTTACCGATTTCGGTGATTATCTCGGTAATTATCGGGTTTAGAGGGACAAGTGTCATGACCTTTTTTGTAGCTGATGAAATTTTCCATAAAAAATGTTCTGACACATTTTCTCCTAAATCCGATAATTATTGAGATAAATGCGGATTTGAAGAAGCGAATCTGAGATTTAATCCTGGACATTTGAAACTGAGTTGGATAGAACTGATCGCGTTCAATCGTGAATATCTTCTAACTGAACGATGTGATTTGGATGCGTCACGTCTCATTTTGAAGCTTATAAAAATATCTTGAGATTGAAAAAAAAGTCGAGGAATTTCACTCTGCGGTTCTCGAGTTATGACTGATTAAAAAGACCCGTTTTGCCGTGTTCTTCACTGTATTTGATATTAATTCTTCAAGTCTGCGTTATAAGCGGTTTTAGGCGGAAGTGTCTGAGGGTTTTTTGGTGGAGAATTTCTTCAGCTGTGAAAAAGGGTTTATAACATTCTTTTCCGGAACCACTCGTTACCGAAGCAATTCGGCAATTAGATAAAGTGTAATTAAACCGTGAAATAGAGAAGAATTTGCAGATTTTCGGATTTAGCTCGGAAGCGAGTGATTTTAAAAGAAAATGTCAGAAAACTTTTTTTTAGCTAAGAAAGTTCTCCACAAAAAATGTTGAGTAACATTTTCCTCTGGAACGAGTCGTCACCGAGATAATTCTGTAATTAAAGAGTGGAAAATGATAGAATCGCGGAATGGAGAAAAGTTTTTGATTTACAATTTTCAATTTATCACGGAAAGGAGTGATTTTAGAAAAAAATGTCAGAAGATATGTTTCGTAGCTGAAGAAATTCCCTACAAAAATGTTCTTGGGCATTTTCTCCGAGAACTACTCACTATCGAGATAATTTGATTTTTAATGAGATGCGACGGATCGTTTTGGGCTCTCGTGTGTCCTAACACTTCGCTACTGATTTTTTCTCTTGAATATGGGAATTCCGGTGGGGCGGGGGGCACGAGAGGTGGGTTTGGTGGTGGAAGTTGTCCGTTATGTTGTGTTCAGGTATTTTTTTGAATAATTTATGATGAGTCAGCAGGTAAGTTAATTTGATTACTAATTTTTCTTAATTGGGAATTTTAAAATGTGAGCAAAATTCCAGAACTTGAGTTGTTTTCAATTTTTCTGCTTTTTGTTGTTACAGTACATCATATAATAATGATAATTGCTAGTTATAAGGATAATTATCATTGTTGTCAGACATATTTATTCACAAGTGTCACTTTTCGTTGTTTTTGTTGAACATTAGATGAACAACAAAATAAGTAACTAAAAATATATAGATAAAATTGTTTAGAATTAATTTGTGATTAATTTCTGATGTTCATAAAACGCTTGCGAATTTATCGCAAAAGAAAATTCATGGGTGAATACTTGTTTATTCATTGACGTTTCGGTTTTAAAATAGAGGAATTGACGAATGGCGAAGAAAATCGTTGATTGTAAATCTACTTTCGCGGCTCGCGTGCCACATAAACTCATGTAACACTTTTGCATCGATTTGCGATCGATTCGGGGAGAGAGGAGGATAATGTGGGTCTGCCCATTGTTTTTGCTGTGGGAGAAATGATGTCAATCGTTGCGGTATTTTCTTTATTACCTGAAGTGTTTTACGTATTTTCAGATCGATAAATTCGATGGGGGGAACATTGATTGTATTTCACGTGTTAATGAAGATTTTAGCCTGACAGGAATTTCCTCAGTTCACGAAGAGAAATATTCAATAAAAATTACGAAATGTGGTTGCAGGAAATTTTACGAAACTGTCAGGTAATTTTTACCTGAGATCACGGAATTTTTCCAGAGCGTTCCGTAATTTTTACCTGAATCTCCGGTGAAAAATTACAATACCGTCACTTGAATTTTACTGAACATTTCGCTCCGTGAGGAATTGAATGCAATTCTGTAGCGAAGTGGTACAACGGTATAAGTCGATTTTGACTATTGACCAGTTTTTAATGAATATCTCGGAATCTAAGGGAGATAGAAAAAATTTTATTATGACCTTTTTTGTAGACCCCGTTGAGAACTACAACAAATGTAATCACGAAAATTTCGCTATCCTCCTTAGATTCGGAAATATTCCTCAAAAACTCAACTGGGATGAGTCGGCTCGTCTGGTTTTCGAGAAATCCTTTCTCATATTTGTCATGTTTGTATTTAATGACGAGATTATGAAGAATATTACTTTACCATCTGTTGATGACCCCTCCCCGCTATTGATCACTGCGAGATCCCCTGAAAACTTCCCTCCCAACGCGCGATACTGCAAACTCCTCTGTAGGCGATTGTTGTCAGCCTCATTCTCGTGAAAATGAGAGAAAACTCCTCGGAGCTTTTCTCTCCCCATTCGATTGATGTTAAACCGTTAATTGATTGCAAATGCGCATTTTTAGCGGACGCATGCGTTACATAAATCTGATTTTATATTTCCCTCGGTTTCTGTTTACTTCGCAATGTGATCGGCCGCATCAGCACTAACGGAGGAGACACGAGAGTCCGATTCAACTCGTGGAATTTAAAGTTCAGTTTTTTATTATATTGTGAAGTGGTGAAAATGTAATGAATCAAATTTAATTAGCTAATTTATTATCAGTTAATAATAATATATTATCAAATGGTTTTTTGAAAACGATTCTTGCTTCCGAGTGGAAGCTTTTTAATCGTTAAAGTTCAAGTTTTTGGTTCATCAATTCGTTATGATCCAAAAAGTCAAAAAATTACATTTTTAGACTCTATCCGTACGCAGAAAAAAATTAGTTTGACCAGGGAATCATTTTCTTGGGAGAAGAATTTACTTTTTTAGGAGCTCTAAATATTACGATTATATTTTAATATATATTTATATTTATTTTAATATTATGATTATGCTACAGCTGACCTTGAGTGAACTCCATTGACAATTATGAACATTTAGAATTATTCCAAATTATTTTACGCAGGAGAATTTCAAATTGGAAAAAATTGAAAAATAATGAAGGGTTTAGTCAAGGTCATGTGTAGCCTAATTATCTCACGATTCCACATGATTGTAATATTTGGAGAGGGACATGGACCGCCTGGGAATTACTGGCCCGGAGAAATGCGCTCCTAAAAACAAAATTTTCGCCCCAGAAAATAATTCCTTGGTAAAAAAAATTCAATTCAATTGAATTCTATTCTTTAATCCTTGCGATGATGAAAAACATTTGAAATTATGAAAATTTTAGCATTTGTTTTTCAGAATTTTTAATCTTTTGAATGTTCATTCAACATTCGTTTCAATCGAATGAATGTTTTTTCTTCACAATTACTCAAACTTGAATTTAATTGTTATTTGCGGTTTCATCTGGCTCGAATACCCAACTTTCTCAATATAAACAATGATTTCCTTGACGGGAATGAAGACTTCAATACCAGAAGTTAATTAATTAATCATTTCGTATCATTAAAAAAATTAGTGAAATGAATTTAAAAAATCAGAGAAATATTTTCGCTCGATTCAGATGTTTCCCTCCTCTGAATTTAAAATTCATTCCCCAAAATGTCTTAAAGACGTATTAAAATATCGGTAATTGCTGAGTATGAAGACCTAAAACCCTTTGAATTCTCAAAATTCCACGAACAATTGATTTTAAACTGAATTCAAATTTTTACCAGTGCAATTCGCCTTGTTCTCTCCTCTTCCATTGCGTTTTCCTCCGCCACTGAATTATTCGTTCGTTAATTTATCCTCCAATTACCCGCAGTTCCTCCTCAAACTGATAACAAGGTAGAGAGTCTAATCCGCGGCGGGAGGAAGTGGCGATTGTTTTCCACCGATTTATCCTCGCATTCCCGAGGAAAATGTCACTGTTCGCCTGTTGCATTCGCCGGGTAAGTCGCTACTGCTATTGTAGATAAGACGACTTTTGCGTCAATAATCGAGAGTAAAAATGCCAAGGCAAACCAGTGATAAGTGACACGAATGAAAATTTTATTGTCCATTTCAGTGGTTTTTTTGGCATTTTTATGAGTTCGGGAGATTGTTTAAAATTCAAACGTGAAAATTCCATATATTTGCGATTACTGATAAGTCAACCTGATGATTTCAAGTAGAATAAAAACTATTTCGTTTCAAGTAATTATGAACAAATTATTTTTATTATTTTTATTTTCAATTTTTTTTCATGAAATATCTCCGAATCTGACGCAGATGCCCAATTTCCTTGAAGATCTTTTTTGCAGCTTTCAATTCGTCGTACAAAAAAGGCCAAGACTAAAAAATTCCGCTATCTACCTTAAATTCTGAAATATTCATTGAAAACTGATCAATAGTTAAAATTGACTTGAACTCAATTCAATGAAAAAATACCTGTTTATTGTTTATTGAAAGCCGTCTGCTGGCTCTCGTAAATTCAAAGAGAGCATCGGAACAAAATTTTAATTAATTATAATGAAATTATTATTATTACTGAATTATTATTGATTAATAATAATGAAATATTGAAGAGAAATATTTATCCCGTTGCGAAATTCAAAATTCGTTTAGAAATCGGAGAACCGAAGAATTAAAACTTATTGTAATTGGTGAGACTCCCGAAATTCCGAATAGATTTGACAAATTTCGTTACACCTGGGATAATTTTTTATGGAATTCAGGGTAAATTTTAGTTTTGGCACAAATTACGGTGGAAAACTCCACGATTACTTAAGTTGTTCGGTAATTTTTCTCCAGCTTTTTTCTCCGTGTGTGAATAAAATTTTTTGATGAATTTCCAATTCCATCCGCTGCAATTTCCATTGATCCCTCCCAAGGTCACGAAATAACCAATACCAATAAGGTGAAGATATTTGCGTACAATATGGTACAATTGTGCTGATAATTCTCGTGGCTGAGTGCCCACATTTTCCGCCACTTAACGGATTTCATGCTGGCGAGTCAAAGGGCTGACCCAGCTCACTGTAATCAATCCAATCTCCATAAATAGATGATCGTTTCTCCTTGAGTGACATCAGATGCTGTGGATTATTACTTACTCGTCCTTAGCCATTCAATTTTTCAAATCTCCCTTCTTATTTGTTTCGGGTTTTGATTCGCTAGGAAATTCTGTTGAATTTTCATTGAACTTTCTATTAGTTCTTGACAGATTAAAAAAATCAGGAATGTTCAGGGGAAAATATTGTATAGAAAAAATCAATAGAATTCCATTTTTTTCGGTATAAATTGCTCGGCCCAAATTTATCAAGTTCTTTTGTTCAATTTTTTAAAGTATTTCGCAGGTAAAAAAAATCATTTTAAAAAAATTGAAAGAGTCATGGGAGAAATATCTGAGTAAGCAGCTGCAATGGGAATTTTTTCGTATTTTTTCAAGATCTTGGCCTCAAATAAAAAATAACAAAATATAATCCAGTAATGAAATAATGAAAAAAATAGTAATGCCCAGGTTATCGCATTCTCAATAATAAAAATTTTCACAACTCGATCCCAAGAAAATGATGAAGTATTGAAAAAAAAACTAGTGGGTGATAGATAAAATCTTGCATAAGTTCCATCTTGTATAAGTTCCAGAATTTTTCTAGATTTCATAAGAAAGTTATTCGACAAAATGATACAGGAAATTATGAGTCTCGGGGCATTCGTTAATTCTATTCATTGATGCTCACGTGTGGCAATTATGTCTTCTTCAGCGACGGAATTTCCGAAGTGGAGATCAGAAGGTGCCGATACCCATGGAGCCACCGGAAATATCCTGGGAGAACACCCTCGGCTCGCCCAACGGCGTTCCCTTCGACGAAGAGACAAAGGAGTTGATTGGCGACTGCATGGGGGTTCCCGTCCCCCCTCCCGTCAATATTTTGACAATTATAAAAAAGAGTGACGGCTTCCCCATCCAATTCCCCATCAAGTCGGTGCAGTGCGCCGCATTGAGGGCTAGAGGAATCAGTGAAGACATTCTGGAGGTGACAAAATCCTCTCCTCAATGATTAGATATTTCTCTGTTGATTGTAAACTCTTGGAGATAAAATTGTTGTTGTTGTCAGTTCAACGCAAATTCAGCATATCCAATAATTCACGAGGCGATGCTACCACTGATGGCGGGCTGGTTGAAGCACAAGCGCGATCATGGGAGCCACGTGGAGAGGACTCTCTACAGGAACATGACTTTGATGAAGTTCATCCAAAGGCTGTTGGAAAAACGAGCGGTGGAGTTCTACGGTGGTGAGGATCGATGGAGATTGATTGACAACTTGAGTGGACACGGCGGCTGGGAGGCTGTGGGGACTAGTCAAGAGAAAGAGCCTCTGGTACAACTCAGATAAGATGCTTTCGATAGTTGTCCAATGCAGAGAAAATTATTTGGTGAATTTCACCGCCTACAGTAGAGGCTTCGTATAAGATACCTCAGGGACAGGAGGAGAGTGGAATTCCGGGAACCCCTGTGCCCCCACTACGCGCGCCCATAGAGGGGAGAAAAATAGGGATCAGCGGGTTTCAAATGAGATACCTCGCTCGTTGCGCCCGAATTCAATGAAATTTTCATTTTTACTGAATGAATATCGATAACTAATCAATTCAGTAGCGAAGCGGTAAACCGGGTCAAGTCGACTTAGCTCTTCGCTGAGTTTTCGAGGAATATCTCCGAATCTAAGAGAAATAGCGAAATTGTCATTATAACCTTTTTTGTAGAGCGAATTAAGAGCTACAAAAAAGGTTATTACACAAACATAGCTATCTTCCTTAGATTCCGAGATATTCGTTAAAAACTGACCAATGGTCTAGATCGACTTAAACCGGTTTACCGCTTCGCTACAGAATTTATGTGTTTAATGTTTTGAATTTGTATCGGCCGCGTTCCCTTTTCTCTCTAAACATAACCCCGCGTGATAGAAGGGCAGCTGATCTTGGGGGATTGTTGGTGGACTCGAGAATAATCACAGACGAAAAATTACGATTTTTCGATGGGAAAAGCGAAAAAAAAATCGATATATATTTCCATTACTTGAAAAAAGTGGTGTGACCCCCCCTTAAGGTCATTAGACCCTCATGATCACTTCGTTCGTCCCTCCCGTTTGATCCTTATAACTACTCTCTTCCCGTTGAAAAATCACCGGGGCCATAGGTATCTTATAAGAAGCCCACGGAACAAACATTCGGGAGGCGATAAAAGTTCCGAGAGTGGGGGTAGGCCTCGAACGCTCGGAGCGCGAGGTATCTTATAGAGAGGTTCCTCATACGAAGCCTCTACTGTATTTAATTAAAATTCCGAAAAAGATTTTTCAATTTCATTCAACAACAATTTGTTATATTTTCAATAAACGTCGATTTATTTGATGGATCAAATTTAACAAGGAATTGTAGATTACTGCGAAAATATCTTTTAGGGGTGACATTGATCGAATGAAATTGAAAAATGAAAATTGATTGAATGAAATTGAAAAGTCTTTTCTCAATTTTAATTGACTAGCTGTTAAATTTCACCAATTATTTGGTTAAATTCACCAAATAATTATCTCCGTGAATGCAGGATTACTGTCACACCATTAATTGCGTCACCAGGTATTGGAGCATTGTTTATCCTACGACGAGATCAAGCTCTCAGCGCTGATGATCGTCTCCTCACACTCGGAATTCATAAACGACGGGGCTAGAGATAATCGAGGAGTCGTCAGCAATGATCCAGATAGCTACCAGCCACGTGGTGTCATTGTGGGAGTAATCGGCTCAAGGTGATGTGTATAAATATGGACGGAATGCATAAGAAAGTCCTCAGATTATAAATAATTAAAGGTTGCCTCTGTATTTAACTTCAGAGCTGTCAACTAAAAAAACAATTCCTCATTTACACTTTTCCCCTCTCCAAATAATTAATTTTTTAATCGCTGAGGGAAATGACATTGATTATTTATTCGTTTACTCAGGTTTGAAAGGGCTCAAGTGATGGAGTACGAGGACATGGTGATAACTCCCCACCAAAATAATCTCGATAATGGGTATATTTGCCATTTTTTATTATGAGTATAAGTCAATTTTAACTGTTGACCAGTTTTCAATGATTATCTCGGAATCTAAGGGAGATGGCAAAATTTTCATTATAACCTTTTTTGTAGACCCTATTAAGAGCTACAACAAATGTGGTTACGAAAATTTCGCTATCTCCCTTAGATTCGGAAATATTTCTCAAAAACTCGACTTAAATTGTTTTACCACTTCGTTACTGAACTGAAACACTCGCTCATCTGATATTTTACCATTTCACTAAAATGTTTAATGGCCTCTCTAATTGCCCGATTCATGATAATGAAGGTATGGCCCCGCCGGAGAAGGTACGATAGACCAAATCCGAGGATTGCGCGTGATCTGGTCGCGCTTCTACGGTGAGGATTACCATCCGACCTACGAGGAGGCTGTGAGACGCGTAAAGTCGAGGGATAACAAGAGATACATGGCACTTCATCCTCACATGTTCTTTGATATTGAAAACTACATGAAACGAACACTATTGTCGGTCGAGATTCTACTACTGGAGGCTAACACGAGAGCGGAGAAGCAGAACACAACGGCGTTTTTACATGTGGTTGGATTTGGATTGGGTAAAATTAATTGTTCTCAAGCTAATAATGCTTCTGTGATCTTCAATCAATCAATCAATCCTGAGATAAATAATGCAAAAACCATTTCAATATAATGAAATTGCATTCAATAACGTGGAGAAAAAAAATTTAGGACTGGGCAATGAATTAGAAAAAAAAAATCGGCCCTGAAATTCCTCTAAATTCACGTAACTTGCCTTGAATGTGCGAGAGAGACGGCCGTCGTCTTGTGCCGAGAGTGCGAGTGAGACAGAATGACTGCGGTGACATAATTCGCTCGAGGCCTCTAAAAAGTGCACTTTTCAATCAGTGATTTTTGGTTTAAAAAAAAACGAAATGGACAGTTAAAAAAATTATTTCTGAGATTGAGTTTCTATATTCGAAATGAACAAGATAAAAAAATGAGTATGTTCCCTCGTGCCGTATTACGAAGTCACATAAACGTAAGGGAAAGCTCCGAGGGGACGTGAAGCATGGAGACATCACATCATAAAATTTTCACTTTCGGTTTTCGAGGTCATTTTGATAATTTCCTTTAGGTACGAAAGGTGAAAAAAAAGTATTTCCGATACCGGGAATCGAACCCGGGCCGCCCGGGTGAGAGCCGGGAATCATAGCCACTAGACTATATCGGATGTTGTAATGAGACTGACTATGTGGGCACTAAGAGCTTAGGAATGTATTTTGAGAAACATCACCTCATTATATTATGACTTGAGAAGAAAGAAAAACTGTCTTCAGGAAAATTCTTGTTTATTAGTTTCCGAAGAGCAGGCACTATCTGTTAAGCAAATATATTATTATTTTCATAAACAATTATGGGAATTTGACCCACAGTAAACGTATGAAATTTGCTCCATTCCAGGGGTTTGGAGACTGATAGAGGATCAAGAATCGTATTTCTTAAAGACCTTCGAGATAGCATTAAAGAAAATGAATCGAAAGTTAAAGTACGTCTCAGACATAATGTTCGCCTACTTCAGGAAAGATAAATGCGGTGGTGCAGGAAATGGAGATTATCTAGGGGGTAATTAATCCATTCCCAATTTTCTTGCTTCATCACTAGCAGAATCTCATCAGACTTGAATGTTTGTTCACCTTCATGAGAACTGTGCGCTCCTTTGCAGACATAAAAATTCACTTCGCCTTGAGGGAGCCCCACAGCAAGCTCTTCAGAGCGACTGATGCTAATAAACTATTAGTGGTCACTTACGCATGGGACGGAAATGCCTATCCCGGCAATGAATTCTGGAGTGGTTATTTGGAGGCAAGTGGAGATCCTGCTGCTACTTGCAGCACCCAAATAGCAGAGCTGCATAATACGAGAATTAATCCCCGGGCATGTGCATCGAGTCTTCATGTTGCTTCACCGGAACATGGACTCCTTCACATATCGGAGTATGCACGACTGCATTTTGCTTAGGTAATGACAATCATTACCCAGGACTCGAAATAAAAAACAAAACGAGAGCATTTTTTTACGTCCTCGAAATTTGTGGGTAAATATTCGTTGCAGGAAGATGCAATAGTAATCAGAAAGTTGATTTCAAGAAGAATTTTTTCATGATCTCTAGAACAGTATTTATTTGGTTCGATCTCGTTATGCGTTGAACCTGCACTTGCCCCTTCTTCCTATTAATTCCTTACTCCTTGTATTCTTCTCAATCACTATCAGGAATCACCCGATTGGCGACATCTTGCGTGCGCCCCGGCAAGAGTTGGCAATTGAGTTGCGCAGTTTGCCCTCTAGGTGGTTACAAAATTTAGTCTATGATTTCTACGGAACTAGGGAAATGGCGGGCGAATAAAATATAGGAGTCTCATGTTGAGCTAAGTCATCACCATAGATGGCTAATATATATATTTTTTTAAGTTTAGGATGGAAATAATTCTAAGTCAAGCATGGCGGACTAGATTGCTGACAAAAAACGTTATTCTTTTTTTAAAAGAGGACTACTCCGTGTTCAGGCGTTCGATAATATGTTTGCACATGAAAAAATCCTACGAAGTTTCTTCCTAGAGTCACAAACCCCTTATTACCTCCACTAGGAAAGGATGAGCCCGATGGGCACAGAGCGTCGCTTCTCTCGCTCCCCTCGCAGCACCCGCAGTCGTTCCGCCGATGTAGACCGCCTCCGTAAATACGCCGAGAGAATAGAGGAGCGTCGAAATACCGAGGGTAGCGAAACCACCCGCCTCTACGCCACCCGCTGGCTGAACCTCCCCAAGTCCCCCAACTTCTACGACAAATCCCCGGACTCCCGGGATTCCCTGGAGATAACCGAGAGCCACGAGAAACTGATCCTCCGCAAGTCTTCGGGCAGTCGAGATGACCCTGAGACCTCCAGAGGTGGCGACCCCTGGAGGGAATCCATGCAATCGGACAGCGACGTCACCAGCAGTAACAACGATGTCCAAGTGAGTCCTGACGGTGGAACTCTCTCATTTCGCTGGGTTCCACTGCCTAGGATAGGGGACAGACCTCAGCATTCACAGAAGTCGTTGGACATGGAGTTTCAGGGGGCTAGGTATAAATTTTACTGTCAAATTGTCTCACGTATACGTAGAATTCTCATCTTTCTTTCGAACGGAAGCATTCGTATCCACTTCCAGTATCCCCACCCAATCATAAACTTTACTGCTCGGGGCAGTTTAACCTAATTGAGGTCCAGATCTCAACAAATAATTGTTGAACACTTTCTAGAGGAAATGCATCCCGCCTTCCCTAGAGATGTGAGATACATTTTGAAGGCAGATCAATATCAAACTAGTAAAGGATGTGCAGTACAATTTGCGATCGCAACGTAGATGGGGGAGCCACCAAGTGGTCTCTAAACTAAATACTCTTGGGCGGCAACCAATGAGATCCCTCGGAGGGAACCAATGATGGAGCTCAGCCAATGAGATCACTGGATTCTCTTTGATCTCATTGGTTGCCGCCCAAGAGCAGTTAGTGGAGAGACCACTTGATGGCTCCCACATCTACGTTGTGATTCGCGAATAGGAATTAGCAATTACGCTGACACTTGCTTGAAACCATCAGCCAAATAATCATCATCTCCACAGGTACGCAGCAAGCAAATGGATTACCTTCGCAAAACACCCGTCTCCCGCCTCCTCACGCTCCAGCCTCGACCGAAAGTCCTCCTTGATGAAGTTCTCCTCCTACTACGACAGAGAACTCCGCAAATACCCCAAGAAACAGGAATCGGTTGTCTCGGCAACAGCTGACGATTCCTCCGGTCAAATATCTCCAAACATCAATGCCGATACGAAAGTCCTCGAGAAGAACGAAAGCTCGAAAGGACCGGCTATCATCACTCAGAGACTTCACGATCTGTACAAATTTAGGTTCGACAGAAAACGAAGTTCCACATCCTCCAGGGGTCATCGCTGGAGCAAGAGCAAGAGCAGCAGTGACGACGAGGATGAATCAACAAGTCCCACCAGTCCCAAATACCTCGACGGACGCAGGGGAAGTCAGGACTTGGAGTTCAACGAGCGGAACGACAGGAATCCTCGAAGAAATCCCAGATTCTCAAACCTCAAATCGAGTTTTCTGAAGAAGTTCAACGAGAAGTTGAGATTCAGTGAAGACTTGGGCGTTGGAAGGGATAAGACAGCCAAGTACGAGAGGAAGGCGTTCAGCGAGGATTATGGAGAGCCTCAGGGCTCCCAACGAGAAAGTTGGCCGAGTAAGCTGGACGTTGATGATAACGAGGGACATGAGACCGAGTCCACGGACACTTCCGCCAACGTTGGGGATCGTCAGGTGAAGGAGAGGAGACGGGGCAGTGGAGGCATCGTTAAGCATTCCAGTGTTGAGTATAAGTCTTCTAGTAAACGGATTGAGGCACCTGCGAGGTCCCTCAGTTATGGGGCTGAGGGGCGACCTTCCACCCCTGTGCCCCCGGTTGAGGATGCTCTCGGGGATTGTGTTCCTTCCAAGTTTAGTTATCTCAGGCAGAAGCGGAAGAGCACTAGGTACAAGGTTTATTTGACGTGAAGATAGGAGATTAAAGGAGGGTTGATGTTGATGTCGATGTCATAAAGTTATGTAAGGGATGTGGGAGGAAATAAATGTTTGTGGATGTTAATGAGATGTTTTGGTAAGTTACTTGTGTGGAGTTTGATGTTATATTATCAGGAAGAAAAGGAATGGAAGAAGAAAGGAGTGCCGTTAAGATATTAGATGATCTCTTCCTCAAGAAAGTTTCTGTGAAAGACTCTTCTTCTGGCGTGATTACGATTTAATGGATTAAGTCAACAGGATCTTGAGGGGTACAACTGTTAATTGAATCCTTTTTTAGATACATCTTGGAATCTAATGGAGATATCTTCATCGTGATCGAGATCTTTTAGAGCTTTACAGGATGCTAGCGTCACGAGAATCTTGTCATCTCCGTCAGATTCATCTTGAAGTCAATTTACAATTCGTCAATTTTTAAGGATAATTAGAATTAATTAATATTGAGCGGTCAATGGTAAATTTTACTAGTTATTGAGGTTCTTGGACGGCTCGAAAGGAGTTATCTTGATCCGCTTTTTCACCGGAGATCGAGCGGTTCGACCGTTTGAACTGATCTCTTCGTCTTCCTTTTCGAATTTGTTGGTTCTCTTCTCGTGGTGAAAGCAAGAATTACCTCGATTGATCTCGTTGATCGTCGCAGATCCGTTCGAGATGAGTCTTCCATTGGACTTTATGGTATTAGCCGAGTTGTTCAGGGAAGAGCGTGAATTTTGGAGGCTCATGGTGAGACTGTTCTGTTTGATCACGGGAGCAATGATCAACAAATCGTTTCCGTTTTTGTCGCAAGGAATTTGGGGGGAGATCTGGTACTTGTGGCGGGAGAAGTTTGACCGGTTGTTGCTTCGGTTCACGTCGACTTTTCCCTCTTTGTGGTTTTGGGTTTTGTGGCTCGAGGTGGAGTAGGAGATGAAGTGCAGGGGCTCACACTTTATCCGGATGTTAGCGCAGTCCTGGGCCTTCTGCCATTCCAGGACGTTTGTTAGGAGTCTTATGTACCTGGAGGAATTACCTACATGAATTCATCGAAATCTTGGAGATGCGAAATCATACATTGAGAGAAAAAGAAACACGTTGCCAAGCAAGTCTTGTTTGGGCCAACAAAATTGCTTTGGAATTAGGCAAATCATCTATTGTAATATGCAAATTTAACATCTTAACTTTAACATCTTGCATTTTGCAATGAGAGTGATTGTAAACAATTAATTGAAAAAAGGGATATCGAATCTGACAGGAAAAAGGGCGTAATGGAAAGTCATCAACATGGCGCTAGTAGACTTACTTAATTGCCATTCTCAATATCTCATTCTTCGACAATTTCTTCTCCGGCGGATGCGTTGGCACCAACTTCCGCAACTCTGCAAAAGCCCCGCTGACATTCTGCTGCCTCCAACGTTCCCTGCTGTTCGTGAACATCTTCCGAACTCCATCACCACTCCCCTCACCATTTCCCGATGTGATTGACGTACTGAAAGTGGAACTGCTGGAACTCGTTGTGATCGCCAGATTATTGTTCACCGAGGAAATTCCATCGATCTGAAGAATAATTGGCATTTTTCGTTGGAAATTTCAGCCGAAAATTTTTCACGATCACAGAGAAAAAAAAATTCTTCATCTCAAATTACGATCTAAATAGAAACGGATTTTACGGTTTACTTGTGTGTACACTGATAGAAAGGATTAGTTGTTGTTAACGAATGGATTCGGTTGGAGATGAGGGTCTATTCGGGCTCATCAAATGTTCATTCGTTAATAGTTAACAAATGCATATTTAAGAAGGCTTGTTTGACTCGATTTTCACCTTTCAAGTGAATTATTCGTTAACTATTAACTTCAACTCTACTATTCGTTAATAGTTAACGAATCTCGTTTGGAATAAATTAATCAGCCTATCAGTGGAATTTACAAAAAAACATCGTAATTAATTTACAGAGATTCTCAGTGGAATTTAGACTTTGAAAAGCGTAAAAGACAAATTCTTAAGGTATATCCCTAGAAAATATGTTTATAATATTCCCCTACTGTTAAAAACAATTCTAAGTAGCGCTGTACTACACAGTTTAAGATAAGAAATACGAGATAAGAGATAATAATAAATAAATAATATTATTATTGATTTATTTATTTATAATAAGAGATAATAAATAATGAAATGCGGACTTAGGGTTCCCCCCGACCTCGATTTTTCCATCTTACGAGAAAACGGTTCTTACGATGTTCTTAAAAAACAAATCCGTAGTACATTAATAAATTCCAAATACGATGATTTTTTTGTAAAATTTTATAGTACATATCTTCTGCGATATTAAACTCTAAAAAAGAGAAATTTCGTAAAATCGATTGTTTGATTAAAAAAATTGATTAACAAATAATTTTTCATTTGTTAATAAACTTATAAAAATGCAATAACTCAAGTCATTGTCTTGGGATATACCTGAAACGTAATTTACATTTACGTTTTTCTGTATACTCTGAAAATAAGTGACGATGTCACTGAAAATTGGTGACAGAATCACTGAATTTCCTAGGTTTTTCACTCACTAAATTTCGCAATCACCAATTCCCGATAATTGAGGATAAATTCCTGGAGATCGTGACATATTCCTGAGAATGAAAACTTGTTTTTTTCTCTGTGAACGCACTTGACACAAAATATAGCTCGAGGCACACTAACACCCGACTCCCTAATCCTCTTCTGATCGTCCTCGTCATCGGTATCGTGCGAGTAAAACTCGTCCGAGAACATGGTCTCCTCCTCAGTGTCCCGGGGTGTCTCCGGAGAGTCCCCCGAGTCCTCGATCATCTCTCCATCGTTGGAGACAACTGACGTAGCCGGAGATCTATCCTCATCCGCCAGTCCGTGGCTGCCATTGTACGTCAGCATCGGCTGCAAAAATTAACAATTTCCCAGATACATTCGTTACCCTATTCCGCATTTCTAGAGCTGTTTATCGTAGGACTTCATTAATTAATTGATTAATCGAGGGAGGAAGTGGGTATCAGTGGCCAATTAAATTGCCATCTGTCCGTGAACTTCACGCGCGCGATATTCAACGCCCACGGAACAATATCATCTCTTTGTTTACATTGAGTAAAAATAAATGGAGATAAAATTCAAGTTAATGTGATTAGAGACAAAAATGTGAAAATTCAATCGAATCAGAAGCGAAGTGGTAAAACGGTACAAGTCAATTTTGGCTGTTGACCAGTTTTAAATAAATATCTCGGAATCTATGGGAGATGGCAAAATTTTTATCTGAACCTTTTTTGTAGCTCTCAATTCGCTCTACAAAAAAGTTATTACAAAAATTTCTCTATCTCCCTTGGATTCAGAAATATTCCTCAAAAACTCAACTGGGAGGTCAGTCGACTTGAACCGTTTTACCACTTCGCTACTGAAATTAAGCAAATGAGATATCTTTCAGTAGTTACGTATGTGAAAATGAACGAGAGAAATTATGTGCGAAGAATATTGCAAGACAAATTCCCAAGCTGAATATTTTATCGAAAAAGTCAATACACGGAGAGAAATGTTCAGTAAAAATTACGGAACTCACAATTCACTCACCGATTACGGAATCGACTCAGAAAATTTAAGTGACGGTATCGTAATTTTTCACAGGAGATTCAGATAAAAATTACGGAACGCTCCGGAAAAATTCCGTAGCAGTTACGTAAAATTTCCTACAACCACATTTCCCTCCGGAATTACGGAAAATATACGTAATTTTTTATTGAATATTTTTCTCCGTGTAGAACTTGATTTTTTTCGAGAGACAAAAATTGTGAGGAAAAACTGTGAAAATTCATATCGAGGAATTACTGTAAAAAATGTTTCATTAGGAATACTTGTATGAAAAGATGATGTTGCAGTGATTTTTTTTGTAAAAGAAATTTCTCCTGCGCATTTTTTATGAAAAAAGCTTGCAGTAAAGCTGCGGAATTCTTCAATAGAATCTCGACGTGATGTAATGATGATAAAAAACATTGATAAATAGATTTAAAGTATTGAGGAATAGTTTCATTACCATAGTTGCGAAATGTTCCAAATTTGCAAGAAATATATATTTTTTTTATTTTGTTTATTTGCAATAGATTTTTAATTTCACTGTTGTTGATTGATTTAATTGCACTTATTGGGGATTTTCGGCGACTTTTGGGTGCGAGTTTGACTGTCGATTACGAACGTTGAATTTTCACTGCTGGAAAGTCCCAGGATATTACCCTCTCCCGTGTGACCCCCGGAGTAGACGAATTTCGCGATAGGAAGGCGGAGCGCCGGGTTTCGTGGGTGGAGTTTGGACAACTCCCACTGTCCCCGAGTCTGTGTGCAGCATCCCCTCGTATGGAGCTGGCGTCTGGGGGTGGCTGTGAAGAGACAGGGCTTCAACGATTTTTTCAAATCCGTTAGAATTAGAACAAAATAGGAATAATGCAGTGAACAATGAGAGAAAGTTTGCGTTGCGGCAATTGTTAATTTTAAAAGTTTAACGCTGATCATAATTTTCATACTGGGCAGAGAATTTTTATTCATATTTCCTGATTTTTCGAGAATTTTTCTACACGGAGAAAAGTGAATGGTAGGGGTTATTTTTGTATGGTAGTGGTTACCAAAAATTATAGTAAAAGGGTTTCTAAGTCAATCTCAATAGTAATTTTTCCTATGTTCAACAGTAAAGCGTACTATGTTGTATAAAACGTAATATTGATGATGCCGACCGAGGCTGGTCCTCAATTACATTTGATCAATATCGTAATCCTAGAGCCAAATAATCAAGTTATTCTTGTTACTCAAGAATTACAAGAATACTCCTTTGAAAGACATTTCAATCCTATGAAATTGATATAAATGATAAGAGGTGGTTGACATTGACATTTCGACATCACTCATCACCCTTGTTGTGACCCTCGTGACTTTTAATTTTGGAGTTCCAATTTCCAGCGCCAAATTTTCATCACCAGAAGTCGATTCTTATAATATAGAGAGATTTATTTATTCACGATGCAATACAATAGATTTGCAATTAACATTAAAACTTATGATTTAATACTGTAGCGATCCACTCAATATAATAATAAACATCCGTAAAGATATCTGGTAATCCGGTACCGCATTGAACATCGTTATCCACACCAGTACCGGAAGCGATGCCGATAACTGTATCGTTGTAAATAAGACCAGCACCACTATCACCCTAAAATCGGACATGACATTGCAGCAGAGAAATTTCAATACTTGTGAAAATTTGATTACTTACCATGCAAGTTCCCCTCTTGCCATTACCTACAGCGCAGAACTTGTTAGAGGCGAAGTCATTACCATAAATTGGTCTGTATTGGTCGACATTCATTGTTCTCATCGGAAGTTTTTGCAAAAATCTGTGGAATTCCCAAGTGCCATTATCTAAGCGGCCTCTACCCCAGCCGGAAATGGTGGCATTTGTTTCGATGGGCGGAGGTCCGCTTGGTAGTTTGGCTGGTTGTCGGAAGCGGTTGAAGGGAATGGGTCTGTCCACCTGAGAGATTCAGTTATATCAATCACACAAGTGAATAATCATTCAAATAATCGATTGCGAGACAGAGAGAAACAGTAGCGAAAAAGAAAAGTAGAGCTAAATTCAGGTAACTTTTTTTCCATCTCTGTTACTGAAAAAACCAAATGATGAGGGGTCGAATGTTCTTTGGGGTCAAACAGTCCTGAAGGTCAAACGGGAGAGACGGTTGGAGGGTCAAATTTTCTTGAGGACTAAATGGGAGAGACGAGGGCAGTTGATCGCTTCGTCTGTCTCTCTCTCTCTCATTTGATCCCCAAGACTATTTGACCCCTAAAGAACGGAATTTGTGCAATTCCACTTCACCCTACGTTTCACCATATACCTTCCTCCTCTAAGTTCTTAACAATTATCAAGGTTTAATCATTGCTTTCACACAATTTGAGGTTTTTCACATTGATTTCAATAATTTGAATTCTCACAAAAAAACTATTAATTGAATTTAATGCGAGGCAAATGTAGAGGAAATATTCAGATAACTTAAAAAAATGATGAAGTGTCAAATGGGAGAGATAAGTGGAGTGATCACTTCGCCACTCTCTTCAGTTTGACCCTCATGACCCCTCACTCAGTTACCCCATTTGAACTTTAAAAAAATTTGACTCATCTGATCACTTCGCGCGTCTCTCCCGTTTGACCCTCAAGACTCATTGCCCTTAAACAATGAAATTGGTGGCCGTTTCACTTTACCCCGCCTTCCCCTACAATATATCTTAAAATGAAGCTCTGGACTACTTGAATCATTGCTTCTTTTTGGATGCAGATTGAATTTTTACCTTCAAAATCATAATATCATGGTCGAGAGGGTCTCCCGGTATGCCATTGTGCACAATGGATATCTCAACCTTGAATATATTGGATGCGTTTCGAAATTCTTGATCGTTGGTGCCGGTGATGATTCTGGTGTCCCGAAGGTCGCTTTCCATGGTCCTCAGAGGAAAGCAATGCGCTGCAGTCAAGATGTAAAACTCAGTGAGAATAGTTCCTCCACAGGAATGCTCGCTATTTATCTGCAAGGACACAGCCCAGGGAAACTCCCCTGGTTCTGCATCCACGCCCTTGATGAGTCTCTTCCGACGACTGCCATTTCCGACTGTATACTCTGTTTATAAATAACAAGAAACTTGAATGAATTTTTTTTTTTATTTTCCAATCTCAAGCTCGAAGTCATGAGCCAAAGTTTGGTCCCGAAATCGACTGTTTTTCAATCGCTTCAATTTTTTTTACTGTTTTTCATTAAAAATTACGGAACTCATAATTCGCTCACCGTTTACGGAGTCGACTCAGAAAATTGAAGTGACGGTATCGTAATGTTTCACAGGAGATTCAGATAAAAATTACGGAACGCTCTAAAAAAAATCCGTGACAGTTCCGTAAAATTTCCTACAACCACATTTCGCTCTGGAATTACGGAAAAGACGTAATTTTCGTTGAATATATCTCTCCGTGTAGAAAATTGAAGAATTAAGGGACTAAAATGATTCCAAATTTCGTCAAATTATAGATATCAGTGCGAACTTACTCTGTGTGCAATTTCAGCGCAATCGATCAAGTCGCTTTTGAGAAATCAACATTTGTTTCTAAACCGTTTTTCGCAAATTTCTCAAATATTCCATGTCTTCTTCTCTGGTTGTGGAAGAGAGTTCCTTGACGTTCAAATAAAATTGTTTGCATTGAAAATAGGATTGTGCGATTTCGCAAATGACTATTTTTCGATTTTTCTAGTCTAGGACCCTTGCTGCGCCCCCACCCCGCCTCACCCTAAGTTTTGTCACACGTTTGGATTTTATCCTCTACATGGAATAGTATGTGATATTCTGACGATAAGTAGCAGTTTGTGAATCGTATGTTTACTGCACTCGCCTTCGCCTCGTGCACTCTCGGCACACTGGGAAAATAATTGCAGAAAAATTAGTGTGCTAGCACGGTAAAGTGCTAGTAAGTGCGGTAAGGTCCGTCCAAGTGGACCTATTTTAAAGTGCTACCACAGTAATTTTTCTGGAATTTTTTTTCTGTGCACAATTAGCCGCGTGTCGCACTTGTATTGTAATGGGTATTATTGTACTGTAACTCACCGAACATGCAGACCGCCAGGAACCATGTCACGATTTGGATACGTTTGAACTCCATTGTGATGATGATGATCTATCTGGAGGATTGGCGGGCTTTATATACCGCGGCTAGCTCCCCCTCTTCATTGAGCAGACAGTTCTTCATACAGAAAAATCAAAACGCCAATTACGTTTAAGTTGTTGTCTTCAATGCTTTCTGAAGCGTATTTATAATTGTTCTGCTTTTGACAGCAAATATCTTATACAGAGGAAAATTTATC